CGGAGGGGCATGCCCAGGCTTGGCTTTCAGGTCACCCTTGGCTCCTGCATTCTGTCTTCCCCCCTCATCAACCTGCTCTCCCCACTCCGCTTACTTACCCAGCCTCATCTAGGTCCCCAGGGACCCTTCCCCTCTCTGACAAAGCAAAATACTGAAGGAGGTAAGAAGGCCAAAAGGCAGAGGCTCCAACTCAGAAGTGAAGCTCCCAGCTTCCCTGTTGACCAGCCTGGGACCTTCAGGACTTCACCCCTCCCCTCGGCCCTTGCCTGCTTGTCCCAAACTAACACGTGCAAGTCTGCGAGGTACAGTGACTCTGCAAAAGAACGACCTGTATTCTCTGGAACGTTCAGAAGATTCTAGGCACAGCAGTGTAGGAGGACGGCTGGACCCACGCTCTGGAGCTGGGATGCCTGGGTTTAAATCCCAGTCCTACCACATAACTGTGTAGCCATGGCAGGTTACTAACCTCCCAATGCCTCCATCTTCTCATCTCTCATGGAGACTAATAATCCCTAACACATAGATTGAATCAGTTAATACATCAAAAGTGCTTAGAATACTGTTTGGCACATAGTAATGCCCAATGAATAGAAACCAAGGCAATAGTAATTGTACTGTTATTTGAAACACATTTAAGGCTGAAATATGTAAAGGGTCAGAGGTTATAAGAGGTAAATTTTAAAAAATGACATATAGCTCCAGATTCATTCACTCAACAAGGTTTTTGAGCACCTACTCTGTCCCAGGCAATGCTCTATGCCCTAAAAAGGCAGTAGGGAATGTGAGAAATGAGTTCCCTGCTTTCAAGGAGCTGACGGTCTAGTGGGGGACACACATGAGGAAATATTAGATTGTGATAAACGTCTGTGTAGTGAATTAAAATAAACGGCCTCCTCAGAGTATGAAGATAGGAATGGCTTCTCCAGGAAGCCAACTCTCAGAAGACTCAAATTCATCTGTGGAAGGAGAAATAATATCCACAGCTGTGAAGCAAGGCAGGAGCCTCAGAGTCCTGGCTTACGGACCCAGGAAGGAAGCCAAGAGCAGAGGCGGCAGCAATTGCAAAGCGAGGAATCAGAATGCACAAACTTGCATTTGAACCAGTCTTAATACTCTACAAACTAATATAGGGTGGATGAAGGGAAGTATATTTTCAAAAGAAAAATCTAATTTAGACCACTATTCATGAAATATTTCCTCTTTTAGGAGGAACTCAGGGAGGAATTTCTCTTAGATCTTAGCATCTCAAGAAGTTGTTTGTCCTAGGCAACTGAATTTTTTAAAACATGGCTGATATGAGTCTTGCAAATGAGTTTTCCCCTTTTTTTCTGGTCTGCAGGAAGCTCAAAATGGAAATTGCAGCAGGGCCTGCTGGTATGCCTTTTTTTTTTCCCTGAAATAATTTTATTCTTGGCTTTATTTTTCCCTGTACAACTCTTAGATTTTCTTTGAACTGTTCCTTTATTGTAGGGTAGGTGTGTTTTTTTGTGTGGTATTAAATCCTCTTTAAAACAAGTTAGATTATAATAAATTTACAGTTCAAAGTAATTTAGCACCTATCTCAAAACAAACTATTTCCATAGCTGTTTCTTTATTTTATGTGCCATGAGAATGTTTTTTTAGGTTTCTGTTAGGCTGGAGGAAGAAAAAACAAGGACATGCAAACCATGCAAACAGAGCAGAGAGATACTATAAAAGGGGAACAGACCAGACCCCAAAGTCCATGCCTTATATGGAAAAGGGACAGCTCTTCCTGAATTCCATCCTTCTGATGTGCCAACTAAGACCCGGATGTCAGCCTCCTCCCTCTTGGAAGGAAAAAAGGTTCTAGTTGTCTATGATGTCACCTTTAGCCAATCATATCTCTCCATGCCCCCTATGATAGCTTGCCCACTCCTCCCCCTCCTAACCCCTTATAAGCCCCCACCTCCCTGACTGGGTGTGACTTCCCCAGCCTGTGATAGCCAGACTGCAGAACATCACCCGGGAATTTGCGTTCAAATAAACTACCTGGCCCTTTGTTGCCTCTCTTCGCCTGCTTATTTTGGCTAGAATTTATCTTTCAGTTTCAATTCTCTTACTCCACTTCACTCCATGCCCCAACAAGTCTAATTTTTTAAAGGGGCAAACATCTTCCACGGCACATGGAATATGGAATATGGAATATGTATGGTTGTAACAGGTCCAGAGCTTTCTCACTCCTGAAGCCACCACCTGTGACTGCCACAACCATCTCCTCCTAGCTTTCCTTCACTGTTACATCATCTCCCACCCATTCTACATGATGCCCCCAGCTTCATTTCCCTGAAACATCAACTGAGGAAATCAGCCCTTTGGCAGTTTAAAATCTTCAATGGCTTCTACTATCACAGTGTAAGTGAAAACTCCTTATCCTGACAGTCTTCTTCTCTGTCACATAATTCTCCACCTAAACTCTGCACAAACCCAGTAGCTTCCCTAACTCCCCAGGCAGATCTTCTCTTTGCCCACCTGTATGTATTGCTCACCCTGGTGCCTCTACATGGCAGGCCCTTTCTCCCTTCTCCACCAGCCCTCAGAACCCCACACAATTGCCTGCTGTCCCCTGAAGCCCTCCCAATAATGGTGCCACCTCATACTGATCTCTGCCATTTCAAGACACTGCTCGCTGATTATTTGATGAATAACTCCATTCCACCTTGCAAAACTGCAATTTACTGAATCTGTCTGTATCACTTACATTGCTGCATGTTTTACGACTTCTTTGCCCACTGAAATTGTAATCTTGATGGAAAGGACTTTTATATATCCCCCATGATGTCCTGTCGCTGGCACTCTACAAACTCTTGATAGTTTATGTCTGTTTCTCTTCAAAACACAAAGCATAAAGCCAATGACAAGCAAGCAGTTAATATTCTCAGTAAGTAAAGCACTCATACTCATGCTAATTCACTAAAACATAAATGGTTAAAAAAGTAGGGTGTGTTTAATTTGACTAGAAATATAGAATGCATGTTAAAATGATATGATTTTTCCATCAGATTAGCAAAGATTGGGGGAAAAAATCTCAATATTTAATGCTTTTGAAAATATGGGGAGATAGGTACTCTCATAATTGCTAGTGGGATTATAATTGAACAAACTGAAAACAATGTAACAAATCTTTTAAATATTTATAGGTCTTGATCAAACCATTTAAAAGGCCACAGCCTAAGGAAATATTCCAAAATTCAGAGAAAGCTTTGAGCATCAGGTACTCTTCCTCGGATTATAATGTTGAATCTTTATGTGCAACCTAAATGTACAATAAGGAAAAAAAATTGCATTCAGTGCACTGTTATACAGCCATTAAAAATGGCAGCCAGTGAGTTTTTATTAACTTGCAGGGGAGAATGCCTATATTCTAACATCACATAGAAAAAAATTAAAAGTATGTAAAATGAATTAATTCCAACCACATAAACAAGTGCATGGAAGGAAAGATACCAGAATAGTAAAAGCAGTTATATTTGTTTATGGTTTTCTGTGTTTTCCAGATTTTCTGAAGGGTTTGATCATCAGGAGGAAAAAAGATGCTTTTCAAGTTAGATTTTTTTTTTTGTTTGATACAAGAAACAGTGTCAAAAGCACTGTTATTAAGCTTATGGAACATTAGCTTTTAGTTTTGTTTTTGTGCCCCACCCCACCCCACATTTTTAAATTAAGAAACAGAGAGAAGAGAGTTGAGGAAAGGAAGGGGAAAGGGGGGCAGCCCTCTTATCTGGGTTAATCTCTGCTGTGAGGTGGGCACTGCTGTCTTTGTAAAGCCAGGGAACAGGCTCAGAAAGGCTTGGGTCCAAGGTTACCTAGGGGTGGACCCAGGGTTCAAACCCAGGCTATGAGGATCTTGGGTGCTCCTTCACCATCACGCCAGAGGGGGCAGGGGTTTGTGGCGGGAGCACCGCCAGGATACAGCAGGAAAGAGAAAGGTCAGGGAAAAAGCAGGTAAGGACAAAAATCCTACTGGTGATTTTTATCATAATTTAAGACGTTGGTTTGAGTGAGTAGGATTGTAGATGGTGTTTTCCCCTTTTCCCTTTTCCAGATTTTTCTGTAAGATGATGGTAACTTTTTACTTTTATTTATATACAAAAAAAACTCAGTTTGAATTCACTCAACTGGGAGCAGCAAGAGAAAGAAAACAGGCTCCACTCACCTTGCCCACTCTGAAGGGGAATGAGGGGGTGGGGGGTGAGTAAGGCGGCAAGACACACAGCTCCTGCCTGAACAAGCCATCCGTGGGGGCTGCAGGAGCCTCAAGACTTGAGGGAGGAGGTTGGAGAGAGAGAGAGAGAGTGTGTGTGTGTGTGTTTTGTAGGAGTTGCCTGTGATGAGGAGCAGCAGGAGCTATGGAGTTTTCTGCATGCACCTCAGGGGCCGTATTTTCTCCACAAAAGTCACACAAGTGTGCTTGTACAGAATCTTTACAAAAAGTTGAACGCTATTGCTATTTCGCCTACAGTCCTTCTTAATCACAAAGCATAAAGAAAGGCATGTGTTGAGAATGAGGAGGGATTCATTAGGGCAGCTTTTGCTTCCGTGGGCTCAGGCTGCATAGACCGGTTCTCGGGAAATCCTTTCCAATCACTCTCCTGGCCTGCAGCCCCCATTCTGCAGGGTAGCATTTTTCAGGGAGCTCTGCCTCACCTCAGTGGGTAAGTGGGATACTTCTAGGCAGGACTAGCCTGGCTCCATCCCAGGAGAGAGGAATCAGGAAATTCTAATACAGAGAAAAATAGGAATCCATTTTTTCAGAGAATTTGCCCACAATCTTCCTACCCTAGTACAAAGTGCTTTTATTTTTCCAGGTCCCTGACCAATCTGTGTTTATAGGTATAAACAAGACTCTGGGGTCACCTGCGTCCTTTTGGAGAGCCATTTCCAGAAAGTGACTGGGGTTTAGGAATGAGTGGTAAGGAGGCAGCTGGAGCCAGTTTGGGAAAGAGTAAGAGAGAACTAGTCCAAAGGCTTAAGTGGCTAGTGAAGTTGAAGTGATCTGTTTGTTTAAGCTAGGGTGGAAGGTATTGCAAACAGGTGTCTTCAAGAGCTGGTGGAGAGGAATAAAGAAGGATGAAGGTCCTCCTAAGAGGACTTGAAGGAGCCAGGCTCTTGAGCAATCCTTCTTGTGAGTGCAGACCTCTTACATGCACGGTCACATCCATTGCCCAGGTTTGAGGTTCACCACAGACCTCGGACGTGGGTGGGCATGTCACCAGTTTCTGCTGAGATATAATTCTGAGGGATGACCCCACTTGTCTAAGGCCACAGAACAGGGAACTGGTTCCTGGATTGAGATGGACTAACCCCAGGTCTAGGATTCTTTCTATCCCTGATAGCACTGTGTCCTCTAGCAAAGACAAGGGGCCCTAATCCTCCATAAATAGAAGGAAAATGGTAGAGGAGACTGAAGAGACAGGAAGATTGAGTTTCAGGGACAGTGGTAGGGTGAGGAGGAGGAGGAAGATCTGCTCAGGATCGCCCAGCAGCTGACGGGGGCAACAGGAGTTGAGGACACGAGTTCACAATGGATCAAGTCACAAGGTGAGTGGTAAAGGGATACCTTCACCCAAAGCTCTTAGGTGACTTATGGCTCTGTGTGGAGGCCCCATTGCCCCTCAGTTAATAAAATCCTTGGTGGCATTTTCCTAATGAGCATTTACCCAAGGCACGGGGTAGCAGGGCACTGAGCTAGGAAGCTCCAGGTTTCATTTCATTTCACCCTGTTCCATCTAACTGTGTCACCTTGGATAAATCTTATGTTTCACTTATGGAAAACATAAGAAAATGAGAACCAATATAAGAAGCTTATGATATTATGCTCAGTGAAATAAGCCAGGAGGAAAAAGACAAGTACCAAATGATTTCACTCATCTGTGGAGTATAAGAACAAAGAAAAAACTGAAGGAACAAAACAGCAGCAGACTCACAGAACCCAAGAATGGACTAACAGTTACCAAAGGGAAAGGGACTGGGGAGGATGGGTGGGAAGGGAGGGAAAAGGGGAAAAAGGGGCATTATGATTAGCACACACAATGTAGCTGGCGGCATGGTGAAGGCAGTATAGCACAGAGAAGACAAGTAGTGACTCTACAGCATCTTACTACCCTGATGGACAGTGACTGTAATGGGGTATGTGGGGGGGGGGCTTGATAATGGGGGGATATCTAGTAACCACAGTGTTGCTCATGTAATTGTATATTAATACCAAAATTTAAAAAAAAGAAGCTTATGAGTGTATGTCTTCCCAACCTCCCTATCCCCATCTTTTTTTCATAGCTCTATTGACTTCTGGTGAGAGAATTATCACATGGACCCTTTCTTTTCATGAAAGTCAAGAAAATACTAATATCCAGGCTGATGAGCCCTCTCCATGGAGAGTGTGCTCTCTCACACCTCAGACAAGTCTTGGCACTAGGCTAGACTCCATAACACTCTCCCATCGAGCATTGGCATGACATTCCTTTGCTGCAGGCAGCTGCCCAGAGGATTCCTTCATTATAATCTTTCTGTGAATGATTCGGGGGTAAGTACCATCTGTTTGCATCTGGAGGAATAGAAACATACGACAAAACAGAAATGAAAATTCGTGGTGGGATTCAAAAATAGCAGCCTGATAAGCTGGCTTCCCAATTCATCTTTCCATACCATCCAACACTTCCCTGACTTACTGCATACAACAGAGGCAGACCAGGACCCCCAATGCCCAGATATCCCCGAATCAGGCATCAAGCTGTCTCAGCCTAAGTGCAATGTCGTGGCCCAGCAGAACTAGGGTTCCTAATTCTTACCCATTCTGATGGGCCCTGTCCTAACTCCTTCCCCACTGCAGGTGCCCTGCAGTCACATGCTTTTGTCAAGTGATCTGCAGCTTCAGGCTGCTCACTCTGCAGAAAAGAATAGGGGGAAAAACAGAGAGTAAGAAAACAGAGCTCTTTCTCTCCTGGAGACTTCACAACCTCCCAGCTTATAAAACAGAACCACCTTGTTACCTTTTCTTACTTGCCAGCAGAACAAGCTCCTAGGTCAACCTCACCTCCCATCCTACTCCTCTCTGACCATCCTATGTCTCAGCACGGTCCAGAAATGCCTATGTTTGACCAACTGGGCAGGAAAAGAGACTGATTAAAAGGCTGAACGTCCCTCTTTCTCTAAATAGTGAGCCCCACTGATTGCTGAGCCTGTGCACCATGTTCTCAGCTTCCTCTGCCTCCACCAAACTTTGTGACTCACAGTCTGTCTGCAGCGAGGCAGCTGAGCAGCCGCAGGGATGCATTTAATTGGGAACTTGCTCTTCTCCCAACACTCTCCCCTCAGGTGTTGCCTGGGCCCCTACCCGGCAGTGGGCTTGGGAAGTGAGTAAAGCTCCATCCAGTTCTTTTGCTGGCCCTCAGTAGCTGCCAGATGCTGGGTTCGGGCGGACTTCTGTCCGTTGGGATCACCTCTCTCCCTCTCTCTGTCTCACAGTCACACACACACAGCTCAGAGCTCTGGCGGCTCTGTAACGCACTTGATTTCTAGACTGGTCTGTGTGTCCAGTGCTCCACTCAGTAGAGCTGCTATGTGGGACCCAAAGCGCTCCCTTTTCTTCACCCACACTGCCTCCAAAACCAGAGGAATGCCTGACCAATAACAGTGCATCATGAGGGTCTGGCTAACTGTTGCATGTCAGTTGAAAGGATGGTTTGGGAAGAGGGGAAGAGAGGTCAGGGGCAGACAGAGGGTGGCTGACTGCCCCCAGCTGCGCCGCAACCCCCGGCAGCGCCTCCTTCCTTCAGCACTACGGAGACATAACTGGAAGTTAGGGAACCTGGGTCCCATGGGCGCAGGGGCAGGCAACGGCCACGTTGATCCAGCGGCAGCGAGATGAGGCTCCCAGAACTGGCTGGCTCCCCAGCGCTGGGCACCGGTGCCGCCTCCCACATCCTCGGGGCCCGGAGCGAGCAGACAGCGAGCGTCTCCCCGCAATCCTGGCCCAGCTTCCCGCACATTACTGCCCAGCACAGCCCGCTTTTGTTATTTCTGCAAATGCTGTCACACGACCACCTCCACCAACACCCCCGGTCTGCCCAGCTCAGAGGGAGACCCAGCCACTCCGAATCACCCAAGGCCCCCGCCCCCCGACGGACCACCGCCCACCGGCTCCAACGCCCGCAAACCACCGGCCCGAAGGACCTCCGAGGACCCGAGTCCCCGGGCTGGGGCATCTTTGTCATCTCAGCACAGACGCGCGCACACAGAGCGACAGAAAGCGCCCAGCCGGCCTCGCCGGGCCCCGCGGGGGGACAATGGTTCGCTCTGCAAGTTTGCAAGCTGGGAGCAGAGCCCTCCTTACCGTACATCTCCGCGGCGCGAGCCGAGCGCCCCCCGGGAGGCCGCGTCGCCGCGTCGCCTGCAGCCAGCCCCGGCGGCTCTCGCCTTTCATTCACAGCCCAGGCGGCGGATGGCGTCTGCCTGCCGAGGCCGGGGCGGGGCGCGAGCGGGAGAGAGGGCCGGGGCCGGGAGCCGGGAGCCGGGGCCGGGAGCCGGGAGCCGGGCGCCCCTCCAGCGGCCGGGGCGGAGCGCGGCGGCCAGGCGCGGAGTCGGGGCAGGGCTCCCCCCGGAGGGGAGGAGGCTATGCTAATGAGGCGTCCCGCCTCCGGGCGCGGCCGCGGCCCCCGGCGCCCGCCTGGCTCCGCCCCGGGCAAATTCCCGCCCTCGCCAGCCTCGCCCCGACACCCTCCCGAGAAACCCAAAATTTTAGATGCGCCTTTTCCCAGCCTGTCGCCCAAGGTCCTCGGCGGCGCCTTTTTCAGCTGCAGGGTTCGTTCCCTGGGGGAGTTACCCACCCGAACTTCCTGCTCCTGTCGGACCGCCCTGACCTCCAGCTGAGATCGCCCCAACCCGCCGGCCCTGAGGATCAGCAGGGGCTCTGGAAGCTGCAGAGGCCAGGGGGCGCGAGGAAGAGGACTTGGAGAATAACCCTCCGCCCTCGCTTGGCCTCTTTTGAGAAGTCGCGCTCCCTAATTAAGCACTCAGCTGTGGCCCTCCCAGCCACTGTCGGGGCCGGTGATTGTTGCCAAAGGGCGTCCTTCCTGGACCAGTAAAACAAGACATGCACCCCACCGCCCGGCTGCTGTAAGAAGCTTGCTTTTCCTCTCCCAGATTTATACATGAATTCACAAGCTCTGCAGCTAGGATCCCGTCCACCTGTGCCCCTGGCCGACTTCACCCTCTGTGATGATGTGAGACCAATTTAGGGCTTCCCTAAGGTTATCATCCAGCGTCCTCTACATAGCCCTCATTCACCTGTCTTTTCAATACCTATTCCTTAATTTCTCCTCTTGCCCCATAGTTGAGATTTTTTTGTCCTCAAAATACTTTACTACTAGAAGTTAGGGAGGGGAGGACCTTAAAGACGGTGTGATGTCTCCCATCTTCCAGAGGAGGCAAGTGAGGCTGTAAGAGGTTAATTTGTGTTCTTTTTCCTAGATTCACTGAGCTAGCTGTGTGTCTGTAGGCCAGTCATCAATCCTCTCTGATCCTCAGCTTCCTGCAGGACTGTTGGGAAATTTATTAAAACCTACATGAAAGCACACAGTGGGCACCACATGTTTATTTCCTTCCTTCCTCACCCAAGCCAGGGATAGAGACAGAGAGAGAATCCAGGTTGCTGGGCTCCTGGAACAGTGCTTTCTCTGTTGTACGCCAAACCATCATTTCCTATTTCTCTCCAGCCTCACCGCCACCTCCTACTCGTTTCCAGGTTTTGTTCCTATTCGTTTACCTCCTTACCTCTCTTAGCAGCAAACACAAGGCCTGTGGGGCCCCTGGGCGGTTTCCCAGGGGCTTATGTTTAACTAGACCCTCAGACAACTCACGAAGAAACTCTGTCTCTACTCTCTATTTCTAGGACCAGGTCAGGGGGCTTTGAGATCTGCTGAGAGTCGCAACTGAACCAGGAAAGAAGGGAGAATTTGGAGTCAAGCTTGGTTTGGACACCTGGAGACACTCCCAGCCCATAGTTCTGTTCAACCCAAAATATACTCATTAAATGGTGTCTGCAGCACAGTGGGAAATGCAGCGTCTGTCTTCATGGACTGAAATGTCTGGCAGGGAGTACAAGACAAATACTGATAAAAACATTACATGACAAAGAAGAATAAGATGAATTTTGTAGGAAAGGCACAGACCCCTCTTTAGACATTCAGAGGGCCGACAGATTCATTCTTTTTTATCAAATATTTGTTGATTACTCCCTATTGTGTGCTAGACACCATGAAAGGCACTCAGGAGAGGGTACACATGCAAAAATTATAATAAAATCTAATAATTACAATGCCAGAGACCCACAGAAGGAGCAGGGTAGAGGTCCATGAAGGAAAAAACCATTGAAGATGGGCTTTGAAAAATGGGCAGGATTTCTAGATGTGGAGATAATGTAAATTCCAGCCAGAGGTATTATAGTTTGCAAAAGTCAGTGTTAGAAGAGGATAGAAAGTAGGTGAGGTGCAGTGTAAAACCCTTCTAGCAAGAGCAGTGTCAAGGACAGGGAGCAGAAGTAAGAAGGGAGTCTGGGAAGGTAGTCTGGGGCCATACCGGGAGAGCCTTGATTGCTTCACCCAAAAGATTTCTTGCTAGATCTAATATTGCCAGATTTATGGTTAGCAGATAAAGATACAGGATGCTCAATTAGATTTGAATTGCCAATAAATAAATAGTAATTTTTTGTGTATATATCCCATGCAATATTTGGGACATATTTACACTAAAAAAAATGCTGTTGTCCAAAATTCAGACTCAGCCTATGTTTTATCTGGCAACTTTAATTAGTCCCTTCTTTGGAGAATGCTCATGGATCCTCATGACTGATCCAGGCCTGGAGTAGTCCTTCCCCTTCCTCCAGTTTGTATTCCCAAATAGATCCCACTGGCATATGGCTCCTAAGAACACAGGGATGGGGTCACTCCGGCCAGCCTGCACCTTTTGGCATGGGTGCTTTGGCCAGAGGGCTGAATCCTCTCTGGGCTCTATGTGCTCAGTGGTAAAGGAATCTGGCCCATACCCAGCTTCTCTGAGATGTAGTTAAGATATTTAGATAAAATTTCTGCAGGAAATGATGCTGTAGCAGTCTAAGTTAGTGGTGTTAATACCATGCAAGAAAGCTGATGCTTGGGAGAAACACAATCTTCTGGAGTGCAGTTTAAACAGAAGAACAGAAGCCAAGGGTCCCAATAACCAGAACAGTGTGCCTGTGCTGAGACACCAAGCTGATATCAGCTATTTAGATGAACTGTGGGAAGGAAGGAAAGTCAGAATTGGGATTCCTATCCTAACAAGGTTCTTACTTTATATGCAGAAACCCAAAACATGGTGACGAGTGTGACAGGAAGGAAAGCAGAGAAGAAATAACATTTGCTGTGTGCCCAATATGCCTCAGATTCTGTGCCAAACACTTTACACAGTTATCTCATGTAACTCTCTCAGCAGCCATACAAGGTCAATACTATTATTTCCAATTTACAGCTGGGAAACCAAGGCCCAGAGAGGTGATGGTCTCTGGTAAATGGTCAAGCAGGGATTCAAGCCCAGGACACTCTGCCCAAGGCCCCTTTTCTTTCCACCACACTCTGATGCCTTGTAGTCCACACTAATGTACACATCACAGCTGCATTTTAAGTCGAGGAGTTCTTCCTAACAGTCTAAAGTGCCATGCCCCATTCCCTCCCTTTACCTGCATTTGCTCCCCTTCCTTTCTGTACCTCAGTCCCCCATTACCTGGGTTTGGAGGGTAAAAGTTGGAAAGGGTCTCAGGCTCTCCAGATCAAAGCAGATGTTCTCATTTCCACCCCTTCCTAGGCCATCAGCAGTGGACTCCCTGTGGTGTTGGCTGCCTCCAGAGCCCAGAGGCCTCCTGGGACTGCTTCCGTCAGGCTGGAGGAACTAAGCCTTAACAAAGGTTATTATTCATTACCCAAAGTGCACCCTGGTTAATGCAGTCACCCTGAACAACGTCCTTTGCTGTGACTGCTCAAAGGATCCCATCTGCCGTAAGCAAGCACCACCATTTCCAGGGTTTCCATATGAACCAGAAGCCAAATTTCCCTGTATTACAGAGAAAGGGAGGCTTAGAAGCAATAGGCAACCTGCAACCATCACATAAAGGCCCAGCACCCTCCCTTGCATCCTTACTCTGGTGTCCACAGCACACTCCAGGCCTGTCTTTTAGCGCAGGAGTCTGGCTTCCGGATGCTCCAGCCTCTCATGGCCCCCCAGCCCTAGTGTGTCTGGGCAAGACCTCTAATCTCCCATTCAGCTGCAGCAGGCAGCAGCTCTTGCTCTGGGCACCAGCCTTGAGCAGCCGACAGCTTTAAAGGGCCTTCCAGAGGGAGGGAAGAGGGAAGAAGATGGGAACTTCAGGGGGAAAACTGTGAGGCCTCAGAGAAGGACCCAGGGAGAACCAGAGGGGAGAATGTGCCCCTAAGATTGTCACAGAGCTGATTTGCTGTGAAGCCTGATACAGAACTCAGGATTCCTGACTCCAGGCCTGGTGACTTGAACCCCTGGCATTTCTCACTCAAAGCAGGTACCTTGACCTACTTCTCAAAAGCCGCAGGGAAATAACAGCCTATAAAAACAATACCCAAGTATAGGAGCCTGTGGGTATCCAAGGGCCAAAGACTGCAACTCCACAACACAGAATACAGCTCATGAGTGGGTCAGTAGGACATGCTCTTGGTGAGGTTCCTGGAGCTGCTGTGGGCAGCAGGAGGGACACAGGGGGATAGAGCTGCCCACTTCCATAAGATCAGGCCTGGAAGTCTTGGGTGGAGAAGGCTGCTGCAGACAGATTTTACCTTCTCTAAACTATATTTTACCAGACAGTGCAAGTTTGAGATATCGATTATTGACATGTGGAGGTTTTAAAGTACTAAGCAGATTCTCCCATCCACGCCACTACCTTCAGTTTACACTGTGGTCACCCTCCAGAGCAGAGGCAGCCTCCCTGCATGAACTGCTCCCTAGGGTCCCTGGAGAAGAGGCTCCTTTCCCACATTCAAGCCCAAATCCATGTTCCCCCACATGCTTCTAGTAAAAAGCTTGGGCATTACCACACCTTTTGCCCCGACTCTTCCATCCCTCCACTCTCTCCTTGCTCCCAGCTGTCAGAAGCCCCTGTTTCCACCCATTACCTCCCATCTCTAGGTTGTGTGGTGCTTGCCCCCAATGGGAGGCCCAAGCGCACCCACATGCTGAAGGACTTGAAGGCCCAAGGAGTCAATTTCATCTGTTGATAGGCAATACTTAGAAAATAAAACATGGGAAGTGAATAGCTGGTCAGACAGGTGACCTTGAGAGGTCAGATCTGGCTTTCTAGGTCATCACTAAGGAGACTGGCCTTGCACCAAAGTCAGAAGGAACAGGTTTGCCCAAAGGCTGGCCAACCTGGTCAAAGAATGGTTTAAATGGAATTGGAGGAGAGGGAGAAAAACACTTTGAGAAAAATCACAAACCTGGCTTCCAGGGAAGAATTCAGAGAAGACATGTGAGATGCTAAACTCTAAGACCTGAGAAGTGGCATTGGTGGAGGAAAAGCCTTAGGACTTCATGGGTAACAGATGTTAACTCTTCATTACCCTGGCCTGCCTGAGCCAAACCCCAGCTCCCCAGGTGGCCTTATGTTGACTCTGGACTCTGAAATCACTCTGCCTTCTCCCTCAAAGGCCGCCAACTGTTAAACTCACCTGCTTATCTGTGGCAGCCCTGCAGTTAGGAATCCCTGGCTATGCCCATCTCCCCATCTCTGGACTCTTCTTGGCTACAGGACTCCTCTTTGAGAGTCAGCCCCACTTGTCAGTCTCTAAATCTGTGGCCCAGTTTTTACTTTTCTGGCTCAGTGATGGCAGCTCACTTCAGTCTCACAACATGATGCTCTGCAATTCTCAGGTGAAAATAATGGAGAGGCTAAGACATCTATACACCAACATGCACAAAACAAAGAAAGTCAATTTGATTTTGAACCCATTAGAATCTTATGCCTTATTAGATTAGGACTTGCTCATGTTCTAATTTATGGAACATGCATTTATCAAGAGAGCCTACTATGTGTAGAAGAATGTTGGGGGGAAGAGAGAACTGAGAAGAATCCACTCCAAAACTGCTAGATCTAATATCTGAATTCAGCAAAGTTGCAGGATACAAAATTAATACACAGAAATCTGTGGCATTCCTGTACACTAACAATAAACTAGCAGAGAGAAAAATCAGGAAAACAATTCCATTCACAATTGCAACAAAAAGAATAAAATACCTAGGAATAAACCTAACCAAGGAGGTGAAAGACCAGTACTCTGAAAACTACAAGAAACTCATGACAGAAATTAAAGAAGGTACCAATAAATGGAAACACATCCTGTGCTCATGGATAGGGAGAATTAATATTGTCAAAATGGCCATCCTGCCTAAAGCAATCTACAGATTCGATGCAATCCCTATCAAAATACCAACAGCATTCTTCAAAGAACTAGAGCAAATAGTTCTAAAGTTCATAGAACCACAAAAGACCCTGAATATCCAAAGCAATCCTGAGAAGGAAGAATAAAGCTGGGGGGATTATGTTCCCCAACTTTAAGCTCTACTACAAAGCCACAGTAATCAAGACAATTTGGTACTGGCACAAGAGACCCGTAGACCAATGGAACAGACTAGAGAGGCCAGATATAAACCCTAGCATATATGGTCAATTAATATATGATAAAGGAGACATGGACATACAATGGGGAAATGACAGCCTCTTCAACAGCTGGTGTTGGCAAAACTGGACAGTTACATGCAAGAGAATGAAACTGAATTATTGTTTAACCCCATACACAAAAGTAAACTTAAAATAGATTAAAGACTTGAATGTAAGTCATGAAACCATAAAACTCTTAAAGACAACATAGGCAAACATCTCCTGAATATAAGCATGAGCAACTTCTTCCTGAACCCATCTCCTCAAGAAAGGCAAACAAAAGCAAAAATGAACTCAT